GCAGGGGATCCGGATAATGCTCTCCTCAGCCAAGTGCAGAACCTTCAGGGAGGAGAGATGCGGAACGAGTGGGAGACTTCAGCTAGCTGGACATTGCTGGAAAACCTTCTCAGCTAAGACTCCGCAATTCCTCAGTGGTCTTGCTGACTGTTTCATCTTCCCAAAGAAGAGAAAGGGGGATCAGCTCTTCTAGACGAGATCCTAACCAACGTGGAAGAGCTGCTTGAAAAGGGAGGAAGTGACGATGCCACTGTGGATTTCAAATCAGCACAGCAAGAGAAATCGGCTGGTAATCATGCACGCAGACGTGGTTTGAATAGACATCACCCGTCACATGCCGTACTGAGCCCTCAGACTGTTGACTTGGATTTTAGGTATCCACGTAAGCCAGGCTGAAGCACATCACGGAGGTCGTGACTTAAAATCCTTCCTGCACTGACTCTGTGAGGCTCCTGGCCAGAATGAGAGGCTGGCACCCTGCAGCTTCTCTTTCCTCCAGGGACGTCGGCGCTGGCGAGCCCACGGCTCCCACCGCAGCACATTCCCTGGGGGAAATCGGGGAATCCCCGCAAATCAGGGTACATCTCCGCAAACTCCAGGCACAGTTTGGGCTGCCTTCTAAGGCCGTTTCCTCTCAAGTGACTTATCACATCTGGGAGCCTAATCCAGCTGTTTCTGCGCCAACAGATCAGTAACAAAGACAGGCTCTATTTCACCACAGCAATGGCTGAGGGAGCGGTGCCATCAAATGCTATAAGTCACGAGGGTGGAAACGGGCCTTTTCTCCTCTCTCAACTTGCAGCTTGTTCTGGATATCAGTCTCTGGAGAGGATTTTGCCCGCAGGGTTCCTGCTGGGGTCTCACCTGGACGGGTACATCTGCGCAGGCAGTCTTGGATGGTCTCGAAATTGTTTTCATTCCCACCACAACCTCCATAGTTGAAACGTTCACATGTTCCAGCCGTCCAGTTGTAGAACCAGCGAGGCATATATGCATCACAGGGGCCTTTTTCTTTTGGGAGCTGGCAGATATCTGAGGATCAGAGCAGAAATCCGGGCCTGAAAGTCTCTCTGGCCACAACTGTTTGTTCCTGGGCGCCACGTCTCTCCGGTGGGCAGAGGAGGGCAAAGGAACTCAGCAACGGTGGACAGGAGCATTCTCTACCCACCCTTGTGGTGCCCTTTCAGTTCTCAGCAACTGGCTGGTGGCTGGCCGGAGCTCTGACTCGGGGAGAAATGACTCTCGGATGCCTGGGGGTGAGCGGGGGGGTGGGGAAGAAATGCTGGCAACTGGTTGGCACTTGGCTTGGCTGGAGTACAGGGAGGGGTTTGGGGCAGGGGCTGGGCAGGGGCCCTTCTCTTAGGCCCTTCTCATTCTTTATTAGCTCCCATCTTGCCATCCTGCCCT